CCACATATCACCTCCGATATCCACCGGACTCACAGTTGATATGTCAGCTGTTTGGGATTCCCCTCTGTTCTGACGTCACCGCGCTTTCTGATTGGCTACCTGTCACATTCAGCAGGTTGTATTCTCGTTCCCAGTCAGGGAAAACCCCACTGGCTGCGATAGAAAGGCAAAGACAACCCAAATTGGGTATATTCAGGATTTAGCGGGAACACCAACATGCAGAAGCATTATCTGACGGTTCACCCCCTCACAGCCCCCCTCCCCGGACTGCAACAAAATTTCCAAGTCTTGACCGGTCCGCGATAATAAAAAGGTTGGGGAAGCACTGATTTAAAAGATTTAGGTCAGGGGTGTCAAACTCAATTTCACCGAGGGCCACTTCAGCATATTGGCCACCCTCAACGGGCCACAGTGACGGTACAATTACCCAATTATACCCTAACCCTTTAAAGATTATTACTCAAAATTATATACATCTAAAGGACACATACCACAAATATCACTTGATTCATTTTTTAACTCTATAAATATCCCCACACTTGGTGAAACGGTTAAATCAGAGCTGGATATCCCGATATCTATAGATGAACTTTCAAATGCAATAGATAATTTAAAATCAGGAAAAACACTCGGTCCGGATGGGATCGATCCCTTTGGACCTTTATAAAATATTTAAAAACAAACTACTACAGCCCCTCTATAATATGCTTGCAGAAAGTTATACCCTTAAAGAATTACCTCCTTCTCTACGAAATGCAATCATAACAGTACTACCCAAACCTGGAAAACCTCTCACCAGATGCAAATCTTTTCAACCTCTCTCTCTTATAAATTCTGACGCCAAAATAATATCTAAAGTACTAGCACTTCGGCTTGAGAAATTTTTATCATCTCTTTCTGAACCTGATCAGAACGGATTTATAAAGGGGCAGCAAGCCGTATCTGTCGTGTGCTGAATATAATCCATGCTAAATATGAACATCCCGATATAGCTTTACTTTCCCTTGATGCAGAAATTATCTATACAATGTTTTATCTCAATTTGGCTTGGGTGGTTATTTCGTAACCTGGATTAAAATAATTTATAATAAACCCACAGCCTCAGTTATAACAAATAATATTATATCTGATTAATTTACTCTAGCTAGGGGAACACGTCAAGGGTGTCCCCTCTAACCCCTCCTCTTTGTTCTGGCAATTGAACCATTGGCTTTTGCCATAACGAACAATCAAAACATACGGGTTGTCAGAATAAAAAGTATTGAATCTAACATCGGACTATTTGCAGACGACATTATTTTAAAGTTGTCTAATCTGAAGCGCTCAATCCCTCAACTACTTAAAACTATCAATGAGTTTGGTTATATTTCCGGTTATAAACGTAACGAAGCTAAATCCGCCATCCTACTTTTAAATCAGGCTGAAAGACGCAATCCGCCAATTCACACTGCATTTCAAGGGGCAGAAGACAGCCTAAATTACTTGGCCATTAAAACTACTCCAAAAATAGATGACCTGGTTCGCACTAACTACACACCAGTGATTAATTAAATCATGGAATCACTTGATAGATATGAAATGTAATATATCAGTCGAGGAATCTATGATTGGCCGTATAAATATACTTAAAATGAATGTACTTCCTAAATTCCTATATCTTTTCCAGGCTATACCCCTTAATCCTCCTGACGGTTTTTTAAACTAAAATAATAAAAAACCTTAACTTCATTTGGAACAACACTCAACTCAGCTCTTAGTGCATCCTGTTGTTTTTCACCAACTGTTCTGTTGTGGGTTAATATAGAAAATACAAACACCACTCCCTTGCCCCTAAACTTATATCTATACTCAAGGAAATACAAAGAGTTACTAAAAAACACTTCAAACCCATTTGTTAAAAACACTATCCGAGTACGGTACGATGCACATAAATTCAAAAATGAAAAACCAATATTATCCCAATTTTCCCCGATCTGGGGCAATATGTCATTTGAACTAGGCAGGAAAGATATGGGTTTTAAAACATGACATGTTAAAGGCTTATGCAAAATCGCAGACTTACTTGATAAAGGGATTGTGATCAGCTTTGAAGACTTAAAACAGAAATTCAACATCCCAAATATTTTTTTTTTAATTTCTGCAAATTAGAAGTTTTGTCTTGAGTATTCAAAAATCTCTAACATTACCTACTCTTACTTCTGTAGAAAAATTGGCAACGAATTATCATTTGAAGATGTGCCTAATATCTCTCTTCTATAATAGCATCAAAGAGAGCTCGCAGACATCCATCCATTTTCTTTACACCCTTGTCCCTTAGAGGGGCCAGGAGGGTTGCTGGTGCCTATCTCCAGCTATCGTTCCAGGCGAGAGGCGAGGTTCACCCTGGACAGGTCGCCAGTCTGTCGCAGGGCCACACAGAGACACACAGGACAAACAAACACTCACACCTAGGGACAATTTGGAGAGGCCAATTAACCTTACTGTCATGTTTTTGGACTGTGGGAGGAAACCGGAGTACCCGGAGAAAACCCACGCATGCACAGGGAGAACATGCAAACTCCATGCAGAAAGACCGGGGCTGGGAATCGAACCCAGAACCTTCTTGCTGCAAGGCAACAGCTCTACCAACTGCCCGCTCCCAGACATCCTCAGAACCCAAAAGAAAGGCATAGTCTGAAGATCTGAAATGTAATATATCAGTCGAGGAATGGCAGAGGGCCTGTCTGAAGGCACAGACACAATCTATCAATACTCAATCCAAGTTAATCCAATACAGTTGGTTGAGAACATGTGTTTCCCCAACTTTACTAAATAAATCTCATTCCAACATTCATAAATGTGGAGATAGAGGTAATTTATCTCAAAGAATGTCTCAGGACTTTCTTTGAGAATGTCCCGAGAACTGTGGCTTCACCTCACATTTAACATGAGGACGATGACTAAATCTTGAGGACTATATCTCGGTCAAGTTATCAAGTTAAGATAACAGACAACAATTTCTATCTTGACGTTTGGGCTGATATTTAGCCCTGTCCTCGCATGTTTTGCAGGCGGCGTATTTTGATTTGTTGAGAGCTCTAACACCATAGATGTCCTCCTCTTTTGCCCTCTTTTGCAGCACAGATGTTAAAGTTTGGTAGTCCGGTCTCCTTTTTCCAGAGGAAACGTCCTCAGCCGGGGACGTTTGCTCTGGGGTCCGGTCTTCCAGTGCCGCTTTTGTCGGCGCAGAGGTTGAGCTTTTAGACTCAACGGCCACCTGTGCACCGCTAACCTCCCCAGCCGGAGTCAGATCTGTCTGACAACTCATTTCAGACGGAACCGTCCGATACGAGGTTTCAGACAGAGCCGTCTGAAATGAGACACAATGCTCTAACTCACCGCAAACTTTCCCAGCCGGGCAAGTTTGCTTCACAATCGGGGAAGGGTTGAACAGATAAGCATCGAACTCATCATATTCGATGGACTCATCCTTGTAACTAGCGGTGTCAAAAGTTACCCCAGGAAGGATCTTATTAAAAATCTTCCTTACCCCTGTGGTGATCAAATATCCAGCACCAAACGTCAGAGGGAAAAACACAGTGGCTACAACCTGTTCCATAATTGTTCCAAAATTGTTGAAAAACACACAGCTACGAACCAAAGAGAGGCTTGGATATAACCTCCTGTTTTGAGATCCAAGCATTCATAACCTCAGATGTTCTTTGATCTATGTCATAGATGAGGTCATAGCTACCATGAGTCACTGTAGTTCTGGGGGAAAGTCTTGCTTCTGATCGTTGCTATGGAAACGGTCAAGTCAGTTCTGCATGACTCAAACTATTAACCCTTTGCAACTGCATCACTGAATCATTCGAGGCGCCATGACGGACTTCAGAAGGGTATATTTCAGGAGGCTAGGGATTAAAACAGGGATTTTAATGGTTAAATATTAAGTTTAGATTGAAGATGGTATATTAAAACCATTCATTTAAGTGGGATTTTTCATCATTCTATCAGGTTTAAAATTTTGAATCATACTTGACTTAAAAATAATTTAAAAGTAAAATTAAATGTAACTTACAAACATTTGCTGTTGCTGTTGTTGTAAATTGCGACAATAAATTTTGCCTGCTTGGAGAAGAGCTACAAAGAAATAATTTTGGTTTAATAATTTTACATGTTAGCATAAAAATAGAATAAAGAATGATCCCAAAGAAATGATGCTGCCGCTCCATATTTGATGGGTTGTAAACGACCCATAAGAACACATTTGATCTGTACCGTGCGAAAAGGTTATGTAATGTCTTCCAGCTTTTTCTGTGTAACTGAGAGCTTGACACCAACAGCAGCACAGCGTCAGCAGCCCACATTGCTGATAGCCGGGAAGGAGATAAACGAGTCCATTTCTATGCTTTCCTGTAAACTGGTTATGAGTCTGTTGGTTTTTCACTTTTCTTGTATTTTAACTATTAAACCAACTGGTAAACAAATGTTTATATCTGTTTTTAAAAGAATAGTAGCTTCTCACTGTCATGATGTGGGATTGTAGGCGGTGAGAAAGACGCTTGTAGGCCCAGACTGACATTTTAGAAGATATTTAATGAATAATCCAGCACAGGTATCCAGAAACACGGGAAACACAGGAAGCACCGAGGAGACCAGACGTGCAGCAACAGACATATTGACATTAGACAAGGACCTGACGAGGAACAAAGACAACAGGTGGACTTAAATACACGAGGATGGTATTCACACCTGGGAACAATCAGGACAGGACAGCACAGAGACTCACAGGGGAACAGAACTAAATAACCACAGAGAAGCCTCAAAATAAATGCACAGAAAACACAGATTCTCACAGTACCTCCCCCTCAAAGGTGGCTACTAGACACCCAAAAGAAGAAAAACAACCCAATCAGGGCGGGCTGAGGGGCGATGGAGGGAGGGCAAAACGTCCACAGGGAACAAAACTAGAATACTAGTCCAGAAAAAACAAACAAGGTGCAGCAGAAGGATACCTCATGGGAGGTCTGGGGGCCGGCCACGGTGCAGCAGGCAAACCGCTAGAGGTGGGTCCAGCGGGTGTCCCCGACGTAGGAAGCGTGCTCCTGGAGGCGGACAACGCCAGCGCAGGAAGCGGAGCCAAATTGGCAAACTGTGGAACGGGCACAGAAACAGGCAGCGGCTGTGACAAACGCTGCCTCAGCGCAGGGGCAGGCAGCGGCTGTGACAAACGCTGCCTCAGCGCAGGGGCAGGCAGCTGCTGAAGGGAGCAGCCATGACGCCCAGGGGCTAGGATCTCTGGCGGCTCAGGGCGGTAGTGACGGGGGAGGGGTTACGCCCATTAGATGAGTAGCCATCAGACGAGCAGCATTAGCAGCTTTTGTTGACATTATTATAAATGGTAATTAGATTGTTTTTGAATACGATGCAGGATTTAAAATGAACTGATGAAGGTGCCATGTTAGGAAGAGGAAGTGGAAGCTGCAGGATCTTCAGAACAAACAGGTCATGATGCTGGGCTACTGATTATCCCTCTGTCTGGACACAGGATCAATAGAACCAGTTTAAAAGTTAAAATGAATGCTTATATGCCAGACATGGAAAACTGGGA